TACTGTGATGTAGTTATATTTACACTATGTTTACATGTACACCTGTACCTACACTGTGATGTAGATATATTTACACTATGTTTACATGTACACCTGTACCTACACTGTGATGTAGATATATTTACACTATATCTACATGTACACCTGTACCTATACTGTGATGTAGATATATTTACACTATATCTACATGTACACCTGTACCTATACTGTGATGTAGGAGATATATTTACACTATATCTACATGTACACCTGTACCTATACTGTGATGTAGATATATTTACACTATATCTACATGTACACCTGTACCTATACTGTGATGTAGGAGATATATTTACACTATATCTACATGTACACCTGTACCTATACTGTGATGTAGATATATTTACACTATATCTACATGTACACCTGTACCTATACTGTGATGTAGATATATTTACACTATATCTACATGTACACCTGTACCTATACTGTGATGTAGATATATTTACACTATATCTACATGTACACCTGTATCTATACTGTAATGTAGGAGATATATTTACACTATATCTACATGTACACCTGTACCTATACTGTGATGTAGATATATTTACACTATATCTACATGTACACCTGTACCTATACTGTGATGTAGATATATTTACACTATGTCTACATGTACACCTGTACCTATACTGTGATGTACTGTGATGTAGATATATTTACACTATATCTACATGTACACCTGTACCTATACTGTGATGTAGATATATTTACACTATATCTACATGTACACCTGTACCTATACTGTGATGTAGATATATTTACACTATATCTACATGTACACCTGTACCTATACTGTGATGTAGGAGATATTTTTACACTATATCTACATGTACACGTGTACCTATACTGTGATGTAGATATATTTACACTATATCTACATGTACACCTGTACCTATACTGTGATGTAGATATATATTTACACCTGTACCTATACTGTATGTAGATATATATCTACATGTACACCTGTACCTATACTGTGATGTAGATATTTTTACACTATATCTACATGTACACCTGTACCTATACTGTGATTTAGATATATCTACATTATATCTACATGTACACCTGTACCTATACTGTGATGTAGGAGATATATTTACACTATGATTACATGTACACCTGTACCTATACTGTGATGTAGGAGATATATTTACACTATGTCTACATGTACACAAGTACATATACTGTGATGTAGGAGATATTTTACACTATATCTACATGTACACGTGTACCTATACTGTGATGTAGATATATTTACACTATATCTACATGTACACCTGTACCTATACTGTGATGTAGATATATTTACACTATATCTACATGTACACCTGTACCTATACTGTGATGTAGATATATTTACACTATGTTTACATGTACACCGGTACCTATACTGTGATGTAGATATTTTTACACTATATCTACATGTACACCTGTACCTATACTGTGATTTAGATATATCTACATTATATCTACATGTACACCTGTACCTATACTGTGATGTAGTGATATTTTTACACTATATCTACATGTACACCTGTACCTATACTGTGATGTAGATATATTTACACTATGTTTACATGTACACCTGTACCTATACTGTGATGTAGATATATTTACACTATATCTACATGTACACCTGTACCTATACTGTGATGTAGGAGATATATTTACACTATATCTACATGTACACCTCTACCTATACTGTGATGTAGATATATTTACACTATATCTACATGTACACCTGTACCTATACTGTGATGTAGATATATTTACACTATGTTTACATGTACACCGGTACCTATACTGTGATGTAGATATTTTTACACTATATCTACATGTACACCTGTACCTATACTGTGATGTAGATATATTTACACTATATCTACATGTACACCTGTACCTATACTGTGATGTAGATATATTTACACTATATCTACATGTACACCTGTACCTATACTGTGATGTAGATATATTTACACTATATACTGTACCTATACTGTGATGTAGGAGATATATTTACACTATATCTACATGTACACCTGTACCTATACTGTGATGTAGGAGATATATTTACACTATATCTACATGTACACCTGTACCTATACTGTGATGTAGATATATTTACACTATATCTACATGTACACCTGTACCTATACTGTGATGTAGATATATTTACACTATATCTACATGTACACCTGTACCTATACTGTGATGTAGATATATTTACACTATATCTACATGTACACCTGTACCTATACTGTGATGTAGGAGATATATTTACACTATATCTACATGTACACCTGTACCTATACTGTGATGTAGGAGATATATTTACACTATATCTACATGTACACCTGTACCTATACTGTGATGTAGGAGATATATTTACACTATATCTACATGTACACCTGTACCTATACTGTGATGTAGGAGATATATTTACACTATATTTACATGTACACCTGTACCTATACTGTGATGTAGGAGATATTTTTACACTATATCTACATGTACACCTGTACCTATACTGTGATGTAGATATATTTACACTATATCTACATGTACACCTGTACCTATACTGTGATGTAGGAGATATATTTATTTACACTATATCTACATGTACACCTGTACCTATACATAATATAGAAAGATTACCACCCCACGTTAGACACAAACAGTTTCTTCCTTTTTAGTGACATTGATGTATAAAGGTTCTTTACAGTGGGTTTCCTATCAAAGTCTGTTTACATAATCAAGCACATGGGTATTTATAAATACTACGTTAATACAAATATAAAACAATACGTATGACGTGTATGTAATTGAAAGAAATTCGTGTCTTATCTGTTTGATGTGCTCAACTATATCCCTTTTGAAATGTGTAAATCCTACAAACGTTTTTATCCTTGATCAGGTTATTATTTGATTCATGACTACAAATTGAAATGTACCAATTGACCCCGTGTAATTAAGTACCATAAACTCTGTAAAAAAATTATACATAAATATTAGGCTTCAAACCAAGTAATTTACTGGTCACCAGTGTATTGAAATAATATGTAACAATCTTGAATTAAACAAGCTGACATGTTCAGTTTTCTTTAATGTTGTCAATGTTTCGACAGAGTGTGGTATTTGTAGATTAGAAATAAAAACTAGTAAGACATGAATTTCTAATACTTCCATGAAGGTGAGATGTGAAAGAATTGTTCGTCAGAATAACGGATGAATAAGAGTTAAATCGATATATATTTAATCCAATGGCGAAGGGACCTACCACCATGTACACTGTATCATTCTAGGGGTAAACGACTCGGGTTAGTAAAGATATTTTCTCAAAATAAGCTTTAGTAGATGACCATTTAATGGCAATATCGAAAAGGAATTATTCTAGTAACCATCAGTATTAATGTTTTCAATTAAATGGTTAGTGATCAACAATACAATATCTACACAGAATCATGAAGACAAAAGATAACACTACATTAACTTGTGGATTGCAATAGAAGTCAGATTATACCCAATGCTTTCCCGCAAATAAAACTAGTCCTTTTGCGTTTCAAACGCATGAGAGACCATGAGGAATTTCACATTCCATTGTAGTTTGAGGTACATTTTTGTACAATGTATATGACAATACATGATTTGGTATATCTGTACATCTCTAATATAAATAATTATTATTCAAATGTAGGTAGAACACGTTGGGCACAAAAGTAGAAAACTTCCAAAAAAGTTTGACCTTTTACATTCGTTCCTTCCCCCAGGTGGCTTCTCGTGTTACGCCATTACACGACCGTCTCATAAACATCTCCTTGTGCTCTACACCTAGTTGTATAGACTTGTGACCCCGAGGATCGTGGAGATAGCGCGTTAATTAATAAGACTTGGTACCAAACAACTAATGCGTATTGTCATTGTCTATGGCTACCCGTAGATGTAGCAACAGTGGTACTTCTATCTGACGCCATTTCGACTTGTATTCATTTACACATCAATAAATACTGGGATCGTGAACGAAATATATATCATATATGTTGTTTTGTCTCATTGACAAATATACAGATATATTCTTATTGATGTTCTTTATATAGGGCTCATAAAAAGATGATGCGGAGAGTACCCAGTATGTCCGTGGAAGGGGCTGCTGCTGCTGCTGCTGAAAAAATGTAGAAAATGATAATGTAACGGACTATATTACAATCATTTTGCTTATCAACTTAGCGACGTGAAGACTTTCATATTTCAATTCAAAACATTATTCTCCACTTAATAACAAATCCCTGGGGTTTCAGTCGGGTTCAGTTTGAGATCTATTAATCTAATTTTCAGTAGAATTGAGACTCAAACTTTAACTCTCGTTTGTAGAAAAAAATCTGTGTCATGATCGAGATAACTTTAGGTAATGACACGACACGAGATAAATTTGTGAATTAGTTAAAAATCATATTTTTTCTACATAACTAATCAAAGATAAGAAAAACTGTCGACCTCTTTAAACTAAAATCAAACAGCTTGGTACTGCTCTTACAAATGTTAATGCTATGGACGTTATACCTCTCGGTGGTTCAGAGGGTAACCCTATCCGGAAAGCTGATCCATGTATATCCTTATTTAAGATGTATACTTACTGATTATTTAAACATAAAACAACAGATTGTAAGATGATACACCAAAGAAATGACATTTAATTCTAACAGAGACCTTTTTATAGCAGTGAACACCAGTTTACAATATTGTACCGTGATATTTTAATGGTTTAAAGGTAGCCTTTTTTCTTTGGTAGATCATTTCCTACTAATTTCGAAAAAAACGATGTTAGCTGTACAGGGAAACTTGGATAATAGACTCACTAAGAGAAATGTGAGGAAATTGAATAAGAAGCGAACATCGACCCCAGAAGATGGAGGATCTGAGCAGAATTTGGGAGGAACGGCTGTGATACCTCCCATCAGTCCCAAACGATACAAAGTATACACATTTGATGGAATGGTGAGCAAACATGGCAGAAAACCTAACCAGGTAAGGTTTTCTTTTAACATAATTTTAACTCTTCAGCAACTTTTTTAAAACTGTGTGTGTTTTATAATATTTACGGTTGGTACGTATTAGACATAATCTGATTTCAGCCGAATAAATATTGGTTAGCACATTGGAAGAATCTTAATATGTTTCAACAAGGCTTGGTCGATTTGTAAACATTCAAAACCATTAATACTCTTATCTAAAAGTGAGATGGGGGTTGAGGGAGGGGAGGGGGAGGGGGCGAGGGGGTTGGAGGAGGGCTACAACGTTTAATTTCGTTCTTTTCGTTCATTCCCCCATCCAATGACTAAACTCGATGAGATTTCATTATTCACTTTTTAAGGCATTGGTAGCTGAATTAGTTGAACTTCGAACTTAAATGTGGCAATAACTGTTTCGGGACCGGTTGCTGTTTCTAAGGAAGTTTAGATCACGGGCCGTCCTGTGCTGTGGGTGTCCTTAGGAATGATACTTTACAATGATTGCTTTTGGTAAAACGTGTGATGGGTCTCCTGCATGGTTTTCAGTGATGTGGCCACCGGCTTCTACAAGGAGACACGTCTTCTTGATAAATCCAGACGTTCGCGGGAAGATACACATAGCAATGAGCTATCAGAGCAATGGTTAGTCACGGATGTCGCAATAAACAAGGAATGAGGAGAGACAAATGCAATTACCTGGATTTGAACGCGGAACAACCAAACTGTTGATAGCTTTAGCTCTTACCATTTCATTGTCTCAAATTGGTTACACAGGCCCATATCAGTTACAAGGCTATGCTATTAACATTATTGGCAAGAGAAATCTTCGCAGTCGACAGTGAATCTGCTTGACTGACGAGAACCAGTGTGGTATTTTTTGCATATGATAATTACGAACTGCTCGTAGCTTTGAGATATTAGAAGCCAAAGAACGTCTTTAAAAAATAAAGAAGAAAAAATATATTCATTCAGGCCTGTTAATGTTATCACTTATCACAATATCTTTGATGAATAAGAATAAAATCATTTGATCATATGTTCAATTAAATTTGATATATCACTTTTCATTGCCATATAGACAAAAACTCATTTATCATTAACATCGTCCGTTCTGCTCCCATTTTCATAACTTAAAAGTTTTTTTACGACTCTATAGAAACAAACATTTTATCTTTTATCAGTCTGTTCCGATGTTTAAATGACTTGTTATGACAGCCACCTATATTAGAACTTTTTAGTACAAACCCATTTAGTATCTGATGTCAAGATCGGGGCTCCTGAATCTGTAGGTAGATAGCCTCACTTACTCGGAACTCATGAATCTGTAGGTAGATAACCTCACTTACTCGGAACTCTTGAATCTGTAGGTAGATAGACTCACTTACTCAGAACTCCTGAATCTGTAGGTAGATAGTCTCGCTTACTCGAAACCCTTGAATATGTAGGTAAATAGCCTCACTTACTCGAAACTCTTGAATCTGTAGGTAGATAGCCTCACTTACTCGGTATATTATGGGGTTTATTCTGTTACGGGTAAAACACTAGTATATACTCTTGAAACAACGGGTAATATCTGAAGAATGTGTCATCTGCACAAGCTTTCATGGAAGCAACAGAAACTGAAAAAATGTTTTCATGTTTAAAAACTCTCGAATATCTAACACGTTCTATTTATAACAGTGTAAAGTTTTGCCGATACTTGTTACATACCTAAGATGTCTTCAATTTTAACCCCACACACTATGAAGCTGAAATTCGCGAGTGATACATTTTGGTTTGGTGTTGTCCGTTCATCCGTCATTTTGACTAGACATATTTGTTCTCTCTCTCATTTTTTCAATCGATATCTATCAAATACTGTAAGTTTAATGAGAATGACATGATATTTTTCGTTGTCGAAGGCATTTCAATTAGGAAATTATTGTTTTTTAAGTTTTGTATTTATTTCGATACAGTAAAGTATGTATCCTAGGCGTGGTTGAGAATGTACACTTGTTTCTTTTTTCGTTGAAGAGTAAATGCTACCTTTAACATTTCATGTGATGATGAGACATGACAAAGGGATTTTACATATACGGTATCATGGGTTTCCTTAATGAATAACTTTATATACAAATGATTAGGTAGAAGATTTGGTGATTCATTTACAGATATTGTCTACATAGCTTGATAATGAAATACAAAAACACACATTTACTGATATATTGAAATCGTCTTCTATCGCAAAACAATTTCAAAAGTTTTCATTCTTCGTATAAGGCTATTACACCATCAAATAAATAACGATTTAAAATCTTGTGAAAATATTCAAGTTAATCAGATAACTGTCATACAAAGAGAAATAATTCCGGAATGTTGTACAGGAAAGGGATTATTTTTCAATTACGACAAACACATATCTCCCGGCGGTCAACGAACCAGTAACATTGAAAGCACAAAGGATTAAACAAGAGAAAATAAACTTTTCTTAATTTGTGGGATTTATTTTCGTTTAATTTATTTTGCCGAATAACACACATCTTTACAAAACATACTGATAGATATCAAATAAGGTCCACAAGTGTGATTAAATGGTCGAAGTGATGGATCGTGGAGTGATTTGTGAATGTTGATGTCAAAAAGAAGTGTTACAGGTACGCTATCGTGGGTATATATGTTTACATATGGTTACTTATTTTTGTAGTACATGACTGATTTATTTTTTAAACATATTTTATTATCAGTATAAGATAAATGGATCAGAGACAAGTTCTAGCAACTTATGAACTCTTCTCCATAAATGAAATTACAAGTAATTAACATACTGCACGTGACACATATTTATACTATAGATATGGAGATATGTAATTCTTAGACGTACAATTGTAAGTTTAAATCATTTTGTCAAATGGAGGAAAAGATGAGATTATAGGATAGAAAGAAAAGAAGGGAAAAGGAGATAGTATAGATGTTATATCAATTCTATATCAATTCAAATAATTAAATAACTAAAGAAACTAAATGACTTAGAATCAATAACACACAATCTCCATAAACGCTCCACTTAAGTACATATAGACCTTCATAACGGCTTAACATGGAATCGTTATCAATTTCATTTCTTATATTTACATTTTCATACGGCATGCCCATATTTAGATTCAAAATATATACATGTATTTACTTAAAAGACAATAGTTTTCCTGTAAAATGTGATACTTTATACATACTTTTCCATAAGAAAACAAAAGAAGGTTTAAACATTTACATGTAACTTTTAAAATTCCAGATAATGAAAGAAGCCCTGCTTAGATTTCATTTATTTATTTTGTGTATTTGTAAACTTTCTATATGAAATTTGTGTCTGTATATTACTAACTTAGAGAGCGAAAATGATTGTAACCCTTGGAATATCAAGGACGGTTACATGTCATTAAAACATACATGATCCCCGAATATCAAACAATCTATGTATGTGTACTATTGTTACCAGTTCTCGGCCACACATTATTACCCTACATTTAAATTTGGAGTGTAGGACTGTTGTACATCAGTAAGTACTGGAAAGGTTCCAAAATCATATCAAATTTCACTGATGTAACTATTCAAAGTCTGAAATATCTGTATTGGTCGAGATCCAATCTACAAAATGTGTATCCAGTTCTGACACCCTTATGTGACAATAAAGTTTTATCAAAATATGTTTTTTATATATGTCGATGTTTTCTTTTCTGGAAAAAACAAAGGAAAATCACTTGAATCCTTTTAATCTACAAATGTATTATGATTTTATCATTGCTTTTTAATCTTTAGATCAAGTATGTTTCACATTTTCGACATTATTATTAATCAGGGTTGATTAGTTTATGTACAGAAATGTATTGATTAGTTTGTAATCTTTTCCTATAGTTTTGGAAAGAACTGAAGTTCCACTTGCATTTATGTCTTTGACTTCCTTTCGATTTATTATATTGATTTTTGCAGCAACTGAACCAAGTGAAAATTCGGACGTAAAACTGCATTAATCATATCATTACATTATGATATTATGTTATATTCATTTCTTCTTTGAGGCACAAGGAAAACAATTGAATCGATTTTTCGGGCCGGATGTCGGGGAACAATTCAATCCTCGGTTATCTAAGCGAAAGACGAGATTGCTAACCACTGCGCCATTCTCCCGACCAATCAAATATTGTCGTGTGTCGATAGAACATGTGTGTTTCATCATTCTGAAAATGATTGGCATGGACTGATATCGCAGTTTTTCACAAATCTCTCATTTAAGTAAACATGTGTTCATGCATTAACTTTGTCGTGAAAAACAACCACAAAAGAGAGAGTTGCTTCCCCTCGTTAAGACAACTGATGAGCAGTGCTGACCTGAGTTTTGTTTTCCACAGCTCGACGTCACGGGTAGTAGCGAGCAGTCCAAGGCGCACAAACCGCGCCAGAAACACGGCCCTGGGTCTGACGGGTCATCTACAAGCTCAGGTAAGTTTACACCTGTAATCAGTATTTATACCTACTACACCTGTAGGTCTCTATAGGTGTTTACAAGGACGTGCTCCGTTCTACAAATGTACCACCAGACACAATCTAAAGAATATTTCATGCAAAATAGTGCACATGAAATCAAAACCGAAAAAGGGTAAGTGTAAAGCTTTCGATTGATACCAGTATCGTTCTGCTTTTGTTCATCAATTATCTGTCTGATTGTGACGATCTTTCACACTCTTTTTTCATTCATAAATTTTACAGATAATGGTCGATACTGTTGTAAAAGATTTACTATCTTTGAATGTCTTAACAGTTATTTTATCACCCAGAATTTGTAAAGATATTTTATTGAATTGCGTTATCGTTTATCGGTTGTAAGGGTGTAGCGGTAAATCGGGGTTCCTTTATCGATGACAGATTGGTTTGATATGGATTAAAGCCAATTCATAAGGAACGAGTTAGAGGCACTGATCCGAACAATTTAATTGGCTTTGTTAATGAACCTATCTACCATGTTTAATTTTAATCACTTGAATTATAATTAAAACACAATAGTAAACCAGTTAAACAGTTGATATGTGATATGTTCAACTCCGTGTAGGTAAAGTACATTTAGACTGACACCAGACTGTCTATTATAAAATGTCAATACATCGACAGCCTTAATAAAATCAATCATAATAATTTTGGAATAATCATAAGGTTTTTAAACGTGTTTCATTTGCCATCTTTTTACATTTCTTGTAGACAAATACACTTCTCATCGACGCGTATTTACCAGGCCAGCATTGCGATAAAACTTGACAACACTTTAATTCATATTATTTCATCACAAGATAACAAGTCATGGCACTTACAAGTTATTTTCAATAGATTGCAAACAATCAATCAAACACATATACTACTTCATTAGATACAAAATGTCTGCCGTTTCCGTCGGCTGAGGAGCTGAGTTGTAAATCCAAACAGAATGCGTTTGAAAATGGATTACAGTAAAAGTCAGGGATGTGGCTACAGGGAGATGCTTCAGGAAGCAGGTATTCGATTAACTCTGGTGAACTCGATTAAATAGATATGTCCGTTTTTTCCAAAATTACGCCATATCAATAGGCGGAAACCTTTTTAAAATGTGCTTTATGTAGGTATATATTACGTAGGAATATTTTACATGTGTCTTTAAATAACACGGTTTGTCATGAAGGCATTTAAAACCACTAAACAGTGCGGTAGTTGGGCTATCTGAAATGACAAATTACATCATGATTTCATTAAAATCTTACACTATCAAACTCACAGTTTATTCGTATTTTAAAAACATGTTAATAGTAAATACATGCTAATTTTGTACGTTAAACGATTACATAGTCAAGGTATTGGGCCGGAATTTCGAACATCAAAGCCGTGTTTTCAATTACATCGAACACAACAGATTTTGATTTTAAATAGGTACAACTTTTACCTCAAATTTACATTTTTCGTAATAACAGGGTATTGAAATCTGATCAATTGGGAAAAAAGCAAGTGAAGACGTCCAAAGAACTTATAAGTTATTAAAATTTCATCAGAAAAGTAATGTCCTTGACTAAACTGCAGTAGAGGATAATTTCAAAAGACAAAGAATAGCTGCTGAGAAATGATTTCGGAAAGGAAAGACAGAAAAAAATAAAGGACGAAATTATCTATGAACTCGACTTTATGTAAGCGACATCCATGGCACATAGTTTCTCCAATGTATTCTGCTTTATGAAAAATCCATTAATTATGCTATGCTAGATTAATTGGTTTTTAAAGTTCAACAACTTCAGTCACAATATTATAACATTCAAAATGCATTTCACGTCGGAATTTGAAATCAGTAATAAGCTGTATGGAGGTCCGATTACAATCTCCTGAATGTAAATACGCCCCAGGAATATAAAAAATCTGGCCGTTCATTAATAACTGTGGTGTGATAAGAAGTTGAAGTATAACCCTGTCCCGGAGTATGTACCAAACGGTATTAAAAGAATGTACCTCGTGAAAATAAAATCGATCTTTTAAAGTTTAAAAAGGAAGAAAATATGTTGCATTTGTGTTTCAATTTCAGCAACTTTTTATGTATTTACTGGCTTATATCTGTATATGTATTTACGCTATTTTAGGACCAAACCTTCCGGTAACTACATGTAAATGGGATATTCAACACTCCCGGTAACTACATGTAAATGTAATATTCAACACTCCCGGTAACTACATGTAAATGGGATATTCAACACTCCCGGTAACTACATGTAAATGTGATATTCAACACTCCCGGTAACTACATGTAAATGGAATATTCAACACTCCCGGTAACTACATGTAAATGGGATATTTAACACTCCCGGTAACTACATGTAAATGTAATATTCAACACTCCCGGTAACTACATGTAAATGGGATATTTAACACTCCCGGTAACTACATGTAAATGTAATATTCAACACTCCCGGTAACTACATGTGAATGGGATATTCAACACTCCCGGTAACTACATGTAAATGTGATATTCAACACTCCCGGTAACTACATGTAAATGGAATATTCAACACTCCCGGTAACTACATGTAAATGGAATATTCAACACTCCCGGTAACTACATGTAAATGTAATATTCAACACTCCCGGTAACTACATGTAAATGGGATATTCAACACTCCCGGTAACTACATGTAAATGTGATATTCAACACTCCCGGTAACTACATGTAAATGGAATATTCAACACTCCCGGTAACTACATGTAAATGTAATATTCAACACTCCCGGTAACTACATGTAAATGGAATATTCAACACTCCCGGTAACCACATGTAAATGTGATATTCAACACTCCCGGTAACTACATGTAAATGGGATATTCAACACTCCCGTTAACTACATGTAAATGTGATATTCAACACTCCCGGTAACTACATGTACATGTGATATTCAACACTCCCGGTAACTACATGTAAATATAATATTCTTAAACACTCATGGGTTCGCTTTACCAAAAAATCCTAAGAATTACACTTTCGTCAAATGCTCATTTATGAAAGCACATTTATGATATGCAATCATGTGTGTATATGTGTGTGATGTAAAATATACCGAAACGTGTAAAACGTTTTCGTGAAGAATGTTTACGCCAACAATATTCATACGTAATTGTATATTTTTGTGTAGAGTATTTTTATGTAAAATACTTAGCTGTGAATGTTAACGTGCAAAATATTTATGAGTAGAATTAGCATGTACCTCGTTTTTTCTTAATCTTAAAAAATGTTTACGGGTAGAGTAGAAAGTGTATATGTAGGATGTAAACAAGTAGAATGTTTACGTGTAGAGTAGAAAGTGTACATGTAGGATGTAAAGAAGTAGAATGTTTACGTGTAGAGTAGATTGTTTACGTGTAGAGTAGAATTTGTACACGTAGGATGTAAACGAGTAGAATGTTTACGTGTAGAGTAGAATTTGTACATGTAGGATGTAAACGAGTAGAATGTTTACGTGTAGAGTAGAATGTTTACGTGTAGAGTAGAATGCGTACACGTAGGATGTAAACGAGTAGAATGTTACGTGTAGAGTAGAATTTGTACATGTAGGATGTAAACGAGTAGAATGTTTACGTGTAGAGTAGAAAGTGTACATGTAGGATGTAAAGAAGTAGAATGTTTACGTGTAGAGTAGATTGTTTACGTGTAGAGTAGAATGCGTACACGGAGGATGTAAACGAGAAGAATGTTTACATGTAGAATGTAAACGAGTAGAATGTTTACATGTAGGATGTAAAAGAGAAGAATGTTTACGTGAAGAGTAGAATGTTTACATGTAGGATGTAAACGAGAAGAATGTTTACATGTAGAATGTAAACGAGTAGAATGTTTACATGTAGGATGTAAACGAGTAGAATGTTTACGTGAAGAGTAGAATGTTTACATGTAGAGTAGAATGTTTACATGTAGAATGTAAACGAGTAGAATGTTTACATGTAGGATGTACACGAGAAGAATGTTTACATGAAGAGTAGAATGTTTACATGTAGGATGTAAACGAGTAGAATGTTTACATGTAGGATGTACACGAGAAGAATGTTTACGTGTAGAGTAGAATGTTTACATGTAGGATGTAAACGAGTAGAATGTTTACATGAAGAGTAGAATGTTTACATGTAGAATGTAAACGAGTAGAATGTTTACGTGTAGGATGTACACGAGAAGAATGTTTACGTGTAGAGTAGAATGTTTACATGTAGGATGTAAACGAGTAGAATGTTTTCGTGAAGAGTAGAATGTTTACATGTAGGATGTAACCGAGAAGAATGTTTACATGTAGGATGTAAACGAGTAGAATGTTTAAGTGTAGAGTAGAATTTGTACATGTAGGATGTAAACGAGTAGAATGTTTACGTGCAGAGTAGAATGTTTACGTGAAGAGTAGAATGCGTACATGTATGATGTAAACGAGTAGAATGTTTACGTGTAAAGTAGAATTTGTACATGTAGGATGTAAACGAGTAGAATGTTTACGTGCAGAGTAGAATGTTTACATGTAGGATGTAAACGAGTAGATTGTTTACGTGTAGAGTAGAATGTGTACACGTAGGATGTAAACGAGTAGAATGTTTACGTGTAGAGTAGAATTTGTACATGTAGGATGTAAACAAGTAGAATGTTTACGTGTAGAGTAGAATTTGTACATTTAGGATGTAACCGAGTAGAATGTTTACGTGTAGAGTAGAATTTGTACATGTAGGATGTAAACAAGTAGAATGTTTACGTGTAGAGTAGAATGTTTACATATAGGATGTAAACGAGTAGAATGTTTACGTGTAGAGTAGAATGTTTACATATAGGATGTAAACGAGTAGAATGTTTACGTGTAGAGTAGAATGTTTACATATAGGATGTAAACGAGTAGAATGTTTACGTGCAGAGTAGAATGTTTACATGTAGGATGTAAAAGAGTAGATTGTTTACGTGCAGAGTAGAATGT